TGAAAATTTTCCCTAAATTCAGGGGTTCCCGGGAAGAACAGTGGATGTGGGTATTTGCAAAGTGGTCTTTTTGACTCTTTGTCCTTATTCAAGACTCCCCAGAGCAGGAGTCTTGGCCAGGTGTTCTGGACACAAAAAAACCTTTGAAAAAATAAATGGCATTCTGCCCTTTAAAATCCCTTTAAAACTTCCCTCCTTGAGTGTAACAGCTTTTACATTTTATTCCAGGGGTAGCTGTGTCAAAATGGCTCTGTACAGAAAGAATCTTGGCATCAGCCACTGCCATTTAGAAATTAATTAGTCAAATAAATAAGATTACATCAACTCCTTGCTGCAGTGTAAGGTAATTTACACATATTAAGTACCAGGAATTGTCAATGTTTTTCCAATGTATTGCACAGAAAGAAGGGCAGATTTCTGAATATTGTCTGTAAGCAGCCTAACAACCCTTGAACTGTTGTGGAACTGGAGTTCTGCATTTCCTAGGAATTACTAGCATCTGACCCCTACTCACCCAGAGAAGGAGCTGGCACAGTGCTTGATTTTCATGGTCAGAAATTTAAAAATAAATAAGCTATCTCACTATCCCAGCTGGAGGAGGACAGAGATCAGCTGCAGGCTCTCCCTGTGCAGAACAAGGGAAACAGCTGCCCCCAGGGCCCATCTCTGCACCCTCACAAGCCCAGAAGAGACTGAGGAGCTGCAGGACAGGGCCTGAGGAAAATGAGGGCACTTTTCTGGGAGGTGCATCCCTACACCCTCCTCTCAAACCACACACCAAGATGAGAGTGGCCCCAGCCAATGCAGAATCAGAGAATCGTTCAATGGTTAAGGTAGGAAAAGTCCTCTGAGACCATCAAGTCCAACCATTAACCCAATACCAACCACATTCACACTAAACCATGTTCCCAAGTGCCACATCCACGCATTTTTTGAACGCTTCCAGGGATGGTGACTCCATCACTGCCCTGGGCAGTCCGTTCCAGTGCTTTACAGCCCCTTCCATGAAATTTTTATTCCTAATATCTAATCTAGACATTCTCTGGTGCATCTTGAGGCTGTTTACTCTCATCGTGAACAAGAGGCCCCTGCTCCCCAAGAGCACCCACAGAACAAGTAACATCCTTCCAAACAGCAGTGCTTTTCTGAGCAACAGATTTGGTGCTCCTGAGCACCAGGAAGGGTTTCAGATGTTTAATTTTGAGAAGTTAAGTTCCCTGTGCAAACACTAGCACAGAATGGTTTGGGATGTAGCAGCAAAAGGCCCCTTGGCTTAAGGTCAATAAAAGTGAAAATCCCACTTCTACCCATTCCCTGTCCTGGACACCTCACAGTGGTTATAACACTGACAAATCCAAATAAACCAACGGGTTTGAACCCTGCCCAGTGCTGCTTCCAGTCACTGTCCCCAGCAAGAGCTGCAGTGCTGGGCAGTGTGACCCAGTTCTGCTACACAGAAGGAGGAGTTTCATCGCATGAAAGGCCAAACTAACATACAGAGATTTCTTGGTAACTTCTTGGTATGTTTGAGATAACATTTTAAAATGATCTGGCACTGAGCAGCCCAGGTGAGTCTAGAAGGGCCTAGCTACAAGACTCCCAAAACACTGGTGAGAAAACTGCACTGAGAGCAGGGCAGAACCATCCTACACCCAAGTCCTCTGTCAAACTGGGACATTTCAGGTCACCAAAATGCAGGTGTCTGGTGTTATTTGAGATGTCCTGGTGCTCCAGCTGCCCCCTGAGACAGAAGTGTCCCTCAGCAGGGCCTTTCTCATGCTGCCAACCTCCTGCAAGTGTCTCAGACACAGTCTGACACCTAAACCCTGACAGAGGTGGCACCTGCCACCAGAGTCAGTCCCCTACCCTGCTTCTCATTGATATCACAGTTCCATGTGTGTTTACTCTTTGAAAGACTAGCATGGAAAAACTCCTTCCATGGAGAAACTCTCTCCATGCTTTTTAGTGATTTTGTCCTACAGAATGTCCAGGGGAACATCTGGCCTCCACAGCCCCTCTTGCTGCTGGCCTGCAGTCGCTGGTAGGACTACCCTGAACACATCTGAGCAGAGCCACAGACTAGCTGTGCTGGGCTTGCTCTGCCCAACTTGACCTTCTTTGTGCAGCTGCTGAGGCCAGGACAAACACAAAGCATGCAAAAACGGCAGCACAAGGGCACACAAAAAGCAGACAGGAGTCTCATACTCTGCCTCTTTTTCCCTGTCTACCTACCATCAGTATCCTCCACATCTTCCCCTCTTGCTGGCCCTCCCTGTGTTCCAGCAGCCCAGAATCCCTTAGGAAGGGAATGAAGAGCAAGCAGCTGGCACTGAGCACAGAGAATCTCTTCCCCTCCGTCTGCCCTCCAGGCATCTCCTCTTGGAGGTGTTGCAAGGGCTGACCAGGCCTGCAGCAGCCAGTGGGGATGAGGGCAGCCTTCCTGGGGTATGAAGAGGTTTAGATCCCTTTCCTTCCCCTCCTGCCTCCTCTGCCATCTCTGCCTGGACACTGGCACTGGCAGGTGGAGAGGGCAAAACCAGTTTGCTAGAAGGCTGGAAACAGATTTTATTGGCCCCACAATTAACTCCTGAGTTTCTGCTGTTTATAGGAGCAGTCGGGATCACACCCGAGATTCATCTCACAGAGCAGGAACAGGAAAAATCTGCACTGCCCAGGGTGAACAAAAGAAAATCCCAGTCCCAAAATGTCACTGGCCAGCAATGGCAAGCTCCAAGCAAGGACAGTCCCACCTTCACCAGAGTTCCTGGTATATCTATAATTCCTCTATCTTAACCTATATAATCACTAGAGCTAGTCATATCAATATAATTTATGTCTTTTTTAATGGCTGCAGCAAAGAATTAGAAAAAATTTGAAACTGAAAAACATCCCATGAAGACTTCCAACCTCTTTGAACTTCAAATTGAAAAAGTATCCAAAAATGATCCAGTAATTCTGACTGAGCATTTGCCATTGTGGAACCTTTTGGGAGTTTTGGTTCCTATTCCTCCAGGTGACCAGAGGTCACATTGTATGTCATCCTCTTTCTCCTGTCCTTAATAATGCCTGACCAGGCAAAGCTTGGGAGATCCAAACTATGTGAGCCTCTGCTGAACACAGGGATGGGACACACAACACAAATGTCATGGCTCCTCAGCCTCACAGGGAGTCTAAGGAACTTTTTTGATCAGACACGTCAGGTCACAGGTGAAGCTCTAGCCTTTTGTGAAGCTGTTGCCCAGAGCAGCTGTGGCTGCCCCTGGGTCCCTAGAAGAGGGCAAAGCCAGGCTGGACACTGGGGCTTGGAGCACCCTGAGACAGTGGAAGGTGTCCCTGTCCATGGCAGGGAGTGGAACTGGATGAGCTTTAAGGTCCTTCCCACACCAAACCAGTCTGTGATTCTCTGAAGCTCTGAGTGAACTCTGAGCCATTCCCTCCTATAAAGCCCAACCTTTCAAAACCAATTAAGTCCTGGACAATGTTAGTTTTTGCAATGAAATCCAAAACTTCCTCAAAGATCCTTCCTTTATTCCCTCCTTTCCCTGCCAGCAGCAGCCACCAGCCTGCACAGGTTGTTATTTCTGCTTCCTGCAGATGCACAGGTACAGATTCCCATCACTTTCAAGTGATGCCAGAGACAGGGATCTCTGATAGCACCGAGTCAGGCTGATAACAGGCAAGTTTCAGCACAACTCTACTGATAATTACACAGCTATGAAAAATACACCAGTTGGCAACAAGCAGGAAATACAGAGTTTGGAATCCTTTGAAAAGACAACCCTCTGCCCCAGTGCAGCATGCATCTCTGTGCTCTCAGGGCTTACCAGGCACCACATATACACTTCCCAGAGATATCCTGAGCCTCCTGTCTCCAGAGTGGGAGACTTGAGAGCTTTACCCCACATTCCATCATCTACAGAGACCTCTTCCCCACACACACCAAAGCACATCCCGATGTGAGAATCATGGAATCTCCTGAGTGGAAGAGACCCACAAGGATCACAGTGTCCAGCCCCTGGAGCTGCACAGAAGAACCCAACAGTCCTCTTGCTTTGCTGGTGTGTCCAAACAGTGCCTGAGCCCTCAGATCCCTGAGATTATCAGCCTGGCCTGTTACCACTCAGAGCCCACGCTGACCCTTCGGATGGATTTTCAGAAATCCCTAATGCCTACAGAATTCAACCTGAGAGGAGTCAGAGAACAGGAGCAAACACTCACAATGGGGCTGCAATTCATGGATACATAAATAACCACTACTGTTTTATCACCATGGAATTTCGTGCCGTTTCATTGTCACATTTGTAATTATTGTAGGATCAGGCCAAACTATGATTGCCTAAACTCTCTTGTTTATACCCAAGAAAAACCCACCATGCTCCTTTCTCCTTGTGCTGTTAAAATTACTTGTGTCCTGCAGCACAAGACAGAGAGGTCACAACATCAGTGTTCCGTTGAAAACGGTCAGAGCATGCACAGGGAATCTAACATTTATCCCAGTTTCCTCACACACCTTGCCAGCTGCTGAGAAACAGCCTCTTTTCTCCCTTCCTTGTCATCAATCAATGTAAATACTTGTAGTGTTCACTTACAAGTAAGTGCAGGAAAGTAAAAGAAAGTACTTAATCTTATACAGATCACAGAATCACAGAGCCATGGAATATCCTGGGCTGTAAGGGACCCACAAGGATCATTGAGTCCAACCCCTGGCCTTGCACAGACACCCCAACAGTCCCATCCTTTGCATCCCTGAAAGCTCTGTTCAAACGTTCTAGTTTGGCTCCAGCCAAACAAAAGCATTTTCAAAAACATAAAAGGAATTAAAATACAAGTGTTCTCCCTTGCCCTTCCTTGCATTTACAATTTTGCTTCCAATGTGTTGAGAAAGTGCAGTACTGTGATAGCAGGACTACAACATCCTGAGCTAGATATGCTAAAACATCTCAAAATAACCTCCAAGCAAAGAGCCCTGTGAAAGCAGGAAGAGGGAAATCCACACTCACCTGAATGTGATCTGCCCAATTCTCCTCAGTCATGGTTTTCTGAAAAGACAAAATCACTGCTGAGCCATCTTAGAAAAGGGAGGATGTTCCATATAGGAAACTAGAAATGAACACCTCATTGTCCCCACTGGCATCACCTGTGACCAAGGAATGCCCCCTGGGACACACAGGACACCTCAGCTCCTCAGTGTCTCCAGCTGGGGCATGGCAGAACAGAGCTTGGGTGGGGGAATTCAGGGAACTCTTACACCACAGCACATGAAGCATAAAAATGCCTATGCAGTTTGTTTGACTGTTCATCTCTCCAGCCATCCTGAGGGCTCCAGCCAAGGGAGGGATCTCAGGGCTAATCTGCAAGGCTGAGCCTTCACAAAATAAAAATACGAATTTTCTCAAAAATCCTCTAGAATCATGAGGTCTGGGAAAGGAATCTGAGAATTTAATACTCCCATTCTCATGCAATTCAGAGCCAAACTTGGGGAGAAACTCAGGAGGGGACCGGATCTCTGCTCTGCCAAGAACTGCATGAGACCCACCATGAGTCTCACCCCAGAGCTGGCAGAGGGAACAAGGAGTGTCAGCGCCACTTTCATGGAAAGGTACAAGAGCAAACAGGGAGGAAGAGCCTCAAAGAAAACAGCTTTGAGATATCCAAGCATGTAATTTAAATATTAGTGAGATAAAGGAGCCATTTAACCAGAGCTCAGACACAGCTGTGAATGGTAAACAGAAAGCACCAAAGAGCTCTCAGAAGGGACTGTATCCAGAAACAGCTGCCAAATGTACCTTAATGGAAGTAACCGACCAGCTTGGATACTTTAAATCAAGCAAATTCTCCAAAACAAAGGAAGTGGAATGCCAGAGAGAGCAGAACACCAGATCATGAATCCATCCCCTCTGCTAAACAAATACACCTGGATAAATGCTCTCTGCTCTCTCTGTGAATGACCAAGCTCCCTACAGTGATGTCATCCAATAGTAAAGCTCTGAGATGCAGGAGGCTGAAGTGCTCCATTCTCCCCAGCTCCTCTGGCAGTGGTTTGGCAGGCAGCAAAGACAAATCAGAGTCTTCCATGAAGGACTGGGAGGGCTTGGGAGCTGAACTTGAAAAAAAACTTGATCATAAACTATCGATAAGTTGTGATTATCTTAATTAAGTTATTAAAAATGTAAATGAAACAAAAATCCTTATTCCACACACACAACACAGCACGTACCTCAACAAATCTCTTGTAAAAGAGGTAATTCAGGGTTCTCAAGTGCCGCTGATTTATAACATTAGGGCAGAGGGCTGAAAGAAGGAAAAAGACATTTCAGTACACAGCATTTCCTGGAAGTTTTACTGTCTAGACATTACACTTTTCCTTCCCCAGTATCAGACTGGGTTTGTGGAAGGCAGGATGCCCTCACACTTGGAACAATGAGGGACAGAGTCGCACACTGTCAGCTTATCTCAACTATAAACTGTTATTTACACTTTCATCCGTGATTAGCAATGCTAATTCTCAGGTCTGATATCTCTGCTTCCACCACTCCTGAGCGATAAGATCCACTCCCTGGTTCAATATGCTCTACAGTCCATGACTTTACACCTTTAATTAGGCAGCATCCTGACATGGGCACCGCCTCAGTCTCTAGAGGCTGCATTCTTTCAGGTTTAATTGGACCTGTGTTGATAATTCATTGAAGCAGTTGTGAACAGCTCACTCGGGATATAAACTTGTGGCTGAAGTTTATCCGATAAAACAACAGATCCATGAAAGAGGCTCCACATCCATACAAATGGGGTGGGGAATATTGTTTTGCTGAGCTAGCAAGCCACAGTTGTTATTATTTTTATTGCTGTCACCTTCATTAGATATGGCTCATTGCAACTGCAAAACCCAAGCTCTTCACACAGCACCTTGTTTTGAAATCCAGTGCAAGGAGAGATAAAGGCTGGAGATAAAAGACATAAAGTGGCATTAGCATAGGTATCTGTTAGTTCCTGCTGGAGGCCTGGCTGCCTGTACAAGGGAAAGGCTTTGCCAAAGCCTTCCTTGGGCTTTCAGATGGGGCTAAAACATCCCACTGGGAGCCAGAGGGAGCAGGGCCAGCAGTCACAAATACAGAGAACAGGAATGTGAAATCCTCTGTAGCCTCCCTTGAATGAACACCCACAGGGAGAAACTGATTCCTCATCCCTTTGTGTGCCCCACAGAGGGCATGCTCAAGGACTAAACCCCAGGAGAACAAAGAGTGATCTCTGGATACCAGAGCCTGGGATCAGAGGGGTGTGGATTGGAGTCCCACTGGTCACAGCAGCTCTTCAGAGTGCCCTGAAGCATCGCCTCAGAATGTGAACGTTTCCATCTCAAACAGAAATGGTTAAAGCTGTTACTTGTAAGTTAATCTTCCACAGTGTGACAACAAATCTGTCCCCTCACAGCATCTGAGGAAATTACTGCAATTATCATGCAGGATGTTGCACCAATAAATATTGTGATCTTTCCTCTTGATATTGTCCCAATATCTGGAGGAAAAATCATCAGCTCATGGAAAGGAACACTCTCTGAAGCATGTAAGATCAATGTAAAAATTAGTAACACCACCCCCTAACTTAAAATTTTCAAAGCTCTTCAGAAAGAACCCTCCAGGCCACCCAAAAGATCCGCTGAACAGCTTTTTCTTTGAGCTTCTAAAGAAAATATCCAAAGCACAAGCTCTGGCAGAACTGGGAGAGTTGAATGCTTCACTTCTGTGTAGAAAAGAGAGGAATGTGGATGGACTGGAAACATGTTTGAAGGCACTGGTGACATATTTTATTCTGATGGAGCAAAGGAATTGAATTTGAATCTGAGTTTCTATAATTTATTGCAAAAAAACAGAGAAGGATGAATCAGAAACACACAGAGAGGTTGGACAGAGAACATATTGAGAGCAGCCCTGGGAGAAGGACCTGGGGATGCTGTGGGTGAGAGCTTGACCTGCCCCAGCCCTGAATCCCCCTGCCCTGGGCTGACCTCCAGTGTGGGCAGCAGGGGAGGGGGAGATTTCTGCCCGTCTGCCCCTGAGCTCAGGTGAGACCCCACCTGCAGAGCTGCCCCAGCCCTGGGGCCCAGCTCCTGTTGGAATGGATCCAGAGGAGCCCATGGAGCTGCTCCAAGGGCTGAAGCCCCTCTGCTCTGGAGCCAGGCTGGGAGAGCTGGGGGTGCTCACCTGGAGAGGAGAAGGATCCAGGGAGAGCTCAGAGCCCCTGCCAGGGCCTAAAGGGGCTCCAGGAGAGCTGGAGAGGGACTGGGGACAAGGGATGGAGAGACAGGACACAGGGAATGGCTCCCACTGCCAGAGGGCAGGGCTGGATGGGATATTGGGAAGGAATTGTTCCCTGGCAGGGTGGGCAGGCCCTGGCACAGGGTGCCCAGAGCAGCTGTGGCTGCCCCTGAATTCCTGGAAGTGTCCGAGGTGTCCCTGCCCATGGCAGGGGTGGCAATGGATGGGCTTTAATGTCCCTTCCAAACCAAACCAGTCTGGGATTCTGTGGAAGATATGAGGGTGAAGGGTAACTTGTAGAGAGACAGTAGAATGGAGAGCTGTGCTGGTATTTAACACCTGAGTAAAAACACTGTGGAGGAAAATCACCATGGAAATCGGGGGTAGGGGCTCTCCCTCCAAAGGCATTCCTGTAAAGTTGTACAAGTCATTCCCTTGTTTCTAATAGAGCATCTTCTGCCTAGTGAGGGCTCCCAGGCCCCAGCTGGGGCTCTCCCTGGTGACTGCCTGGACCTGGGCTTGCAGGTCCTCGAGCCCTGAGGATGTGTGGCCAGTTGTGGTTCACCTGTGCTGATGTGGGGCTGTACAGAGCTAGCTGTGGCTCACCTATGCAGATGTGGCCTTGCAGAGCCAGCTGTGGGGCTCACCTATGCAGACGTGAGGCCAGCTGTGGCTCACCTGTGCAGATGTGGCCGTGCACAGCCCTCTCCTGCCCTCTGCTGCCCCACAGCGCGGCACTCCCGGCAGCGCGGTCACACGGACGGAAATCCCACGTTAAACCAAACGGGCAACTGGGTGCTCAAGCGAGGGAAACATTCTTCGTGGTTCATGTTGAAAAAACCTCCGGAAGCCCACGGCAACACTCGCTCACAGAGATGCTCGTCTGTCCCTGCCCCAGCACAGCCCCACCAGTACCGGGCTCTCAGGTACCCCCTCTGTCCCTCCACTCGGATCTCCCTCATTGGCACGGCGGCACTAAGCCCAACAGATGAGGCTGCTACACTTCTCCGAGCAGGATGCTTTCTACCTCAGACTCGGGAATTGTCAATGAAAAACATCACGGAGCTCCCTCTGTGTCCTGGCTGTACCAAACCACAGCAGAGAACAGACTCAACCATGTCAACCCTGGGAAGGGGCTGTTCCCTCATCTCTGAGATCTGTTTTGACTGAAACTTGCATTTGTAAAGTCGATCTCACAGGGTCTCCAACGGCTATTAAGTAATTAGCTTGTAAAAGCTACAGGCTTGTTAAGCCAGAGCCCACTGACCGAGGTGTGAGGAAAGACTCTATAAACCTCAATTTCCTCAATCACACACCACTTCTGCTCAGCTTCTTCCTTCCCCAATAAGGGTAATTAAATGAAATAGACACACGGTTTATTGGGACACCTTTGGGACACAGCAGAAAATCTCCCACTTCCCATGCCCTGTTTGGGAGTTAACAGGAATATGAAATACATCTCTGGAAAAGAACAGGAGGACTAATCTAAGAGGATGGCTTTATTTTGTTTTTCTCTAAGGTGTGAGATATTTTTTTTTAATTGGGCCACCTCCTATCTGGCTCTGAAGTTTAGGGCTGGCAGTTCCCATGAGTGTTCTCAATTGCTGATGGACACCTCAGCTGTGCTTGGCAGTCAGTGTGATTTACCGTGAGTGGGCAAGACTGAGCTCAGGCAGTGAAATCTCCAAGTCGATTTGGAACTGCAAGAACTGAGTCACACACAAGTTTGCCTTCTCATACCCAGAAACCCCATCCTCCTCCAGCCCTTCTCACCAAAGCCACTTCCCTCCATGCTGCTGCTCTCAGGCTCTCACAGTGAGTGGGAGTCACAGGGAGGAGGAGACAAAAAGCAGCCGCAGCATCAGATGAGCTCAGGTGAGGTGACAAGAAGTATAAGCTCTGCATCACCACCAGCGTTCTGAGCGTGCTCAGAACAAGAGAAATGAGGGTTTCTTTTATCTGTATGTTTTGCTCAGTATGCTTACTTTTTGTGTACTTTTCCCTCCCAGTCGGACTTGCTTTCACTGAAGAATGGAGAAAGAACACCCAGAAATTCAGCAAAAGGGAGGGGAAAGATGGGAAGACAGAGAAAGCCACATTACTCCAGCTGCCAGCATTTCCTAATTCAGTTCCAGCACACCCAGTACTAAGGCAGCAATTCCTCTGCAGGTATTCATCCCTTCAGCACTTCAAAGGAGACTGACAGCCACAGTTTAGCAATGTGTGAATTCCTGCTTGTAATTACACGTGGTATGATGTAAGGAATAAACACCTACATCCTATATGGGACTGTGGAAGTCACCCAGCACTGGCTTTAGCTGAAGTCCAAACCAGGTGCCCACATCCCCTCTCACACCAGCAGAGGTGGGCAGCCTTCTTGAGCAAGGACTTGCCCTACATTGCAGACACTGCAGTTTGCATGGGAGAAAGGGCTGGAAGGACATTTGTCTGGAAGGACATTTGTCTGGAAAGAATGGGATTTGTATTTACCCTAAGGAACTTCCTCAGCAGTGAATGGCTGTAGAGGATCAGCAAGATCACCAGGTCAAAGCATGCTGCATCCAACAGAGTGCACCTGAGCCCAACACATGCTCCCCTCCTACATTTTTATTTTCTTTAATTATTATTTCTCAGGATTTTGCATGTGAACAGTTACATCATTTCACCTCTACCATTATATTATGCCCTTGGTGGAGCTTTCATAAGGAAAGGGGAACAACTCTTTTCTCTTTACAGATCATCAAGAACAACATGGCTGACTGAATGCCCAACACTGCCAAAGAAAGAAAACTACTGAAAACTAATGAACTCCTGGGAAGCTTTTAATTTCTAAATAAATCATTCCTATATGTTTCAGCTTTCACATGAAGGTGCTGGGTTTAATTATATCCACTTCTACTCCAGTGAAGGTTTGAAAGGTTTATCTTACTAACTTTTGAACACCAGTCTGAAGATGGGAAGATTACTAGTGCTGCTGACAGGTATAACAAGCCCACAGTTTGTGGTTAAAAAACCCTTTTCAGTCCAAGAAAAGAGAATTGCATACCTTGGGTTGATGATGGAAACCTCTGCAGGGTAAAAGTTAACGGTGCATCTAAAAGGGTCTGGTGCAAGGCCCCAAAGAGAAGGAAAAATCAATAGTCCCCACTAAGAACCAAAGTAAAGCAGATTTTGTTAGAGAGCTGCTGGGGAAGTGATAGCAAATGTGCCACTTCTCTCGCAAGGCTGCAAGAGCCTTAAAATTCTCCCCCAACCCTAGTTGATGCAAGAATACAAAGGGCTGTGAGGCTCCTGCTTTCCAAGGGTTATCTCCTCCCAGCTGACGCACCCGCAGCTCAAGAAAACAGATCCCCAGTGAATAATGACTTGCCTCTTATGTGAGAGAAAGGAGTCATAACTCAGAGCTGATCATGGTGTGTTTATGCACAGCCATGCTAAGGTCAGGATTTATTTCAGATCATGGCAGAAGCAGTCTATCAGTCACCAGCGCTTCATTCTTTGACAGCACAAAGTAGTAATTCTCATAACTTACCAGCTTTGTTTTTCAGTATCATTAATTAAACCTTGAAATTCCTCAGGATAAATGACAGCAGAGATTCCTTAATGAACACCGAAGAAGACAGATTTACTTTGTTCTTTTATTACTGAGATAACTCCACAATATGTTGCAATATCCCATACCTGGGTCAACGTTGAATCTCTCCAGGAGCCTGAAGACCAGCTTGCTGAGCATTCTGCGGTTAAATTTTTCGGGTTTGTACCTGGACAGGCCTTGATATGGTCTGTAACAACACCAGAAAGACATCTGTGGCATCACATAAAGGATGTTTCCCAAATAGCAGACATTTAACAGCAGAGAGACTGGCGTTTGCAGGATGTTGATAAGGACAGCCCCTGCCTTTCCCAAGGTACAGTGAAAAGCCAACAACACGACTACACAAATTTCAGTCAGCCACTTGAAGAAAGTACAGAGGCTCATTTTAAAGAAAGAGAAAGTGAGCAACTCCTTTTCATCTCTTTTTCAGAACTGACAGCAACTATTGCAGCTACACTGTGACTCTGACTGTGCTGCTGGCTCTGAGTGACAGGAATTATTCAAGTGAGAGGCAATTCAGAAGTGAAAAGACACACCATGAGTTGATGAGCACAGGAAGGTTAACCACTTGCATCTCTTGTTTTTCTGCCACATCATCACAGTGTTATCTTCCTGTCAAACCTGTACAACCGATACTGAAAGTCACCCTTGTCTGCAGCAAAGCACGAGAGGCTGATTGTTCCAGCCTCCACGGGAAGCTTTGATACTGCTCTGCTGCTGGGGTGTCCTGCACAAGTTTCACCCTGCAGGAATGGAGCATCTGTCAATAGCAAGGATTCTTCTGTCCTACAGGCTGAACCATTGGAGAAGGCTCTGGCACAGCCACCAGAATTTTTCCTTTTTCAGCCGAAAAGTCAATATATTGCACTCCCTTAGGCTGGGACACGATCACAGCCAGCCAGCCAGGGGACAGACACACTGCTCTGATCCCAACACAGCCAGGGGACAGCCACGCAGTGCTCTAGCAGCACCTTGGCCTAGCTGTCAGAAAGACAAGTGTTTATACCTTGTGATGTCTCTGATACTGAAGCTGAGGTCACACCACTTGTCTAGGGTCTGCAAGAGCTTCCTCTGGAGCTCGGGATATTCTGCCACATAATCTTCCACCAAGTTAGCTTTATCCTGGAGCAGTAGTGGGGTACACATCTAGGAGAAGGAATTACATTAAAGCAGCATGCCCTGCCTTTGATCCCCATGGAACATAAGAATGAGTCCCAACCCTGCCCAAGCCATCAGTGCTGCCTACAGGAGTGCTGTGACATCTGCAACACAAATATGAGCAAAGCTTCGGTGCAGCAAAATACTGATTTCTGCCTCAGTGACGAGCATAGCCAGGATTTGTTATAGCAATGGCTGCAGCCAGAAAAACCAGGTAATGGGAGCTAACAAAGCACTCTGTGCCTAGTCTTGATGTAAAGGTACCTCAACAACACAATAGGCACTTCTTGGGAATGGAGCAAAGCCTCAAGTGAAAGGCTGCAGGACTTGGAGGGCCCTGATGGATCTCCTGCTTAAAAAAACGTGAATCTGATGACAGAGAAGCCTCCAGAGGAAATTACTCACCTTCTCTACATCTTGATCTGGCTGTAATTTCAGCTTAATACTCAGTATGGCTGCCTAGAAAACATGAAAAAAAGTTGTGTATTTAGAAGAACCCTACAGTGGATAAATGGGCATTATTCCAAAGTGAAGTAAAAATGCTGTTATACACATTTTTAATGTGTTAATTATTTCTGTTACGTTGTCAAGCACAAATCCTGCAAACATTTGGCCACATTCATTCCACAAATGTACAAGAACACTCCTGGCAGAGCTGCATATCCAGAGTAGCAACAGCCCCTGGAGCAAAAATGAAAGATCAAGGGGTTGGGCAGAAAGCAAGTGAAGCACTTGGACAAAACCAGCTGAGATGGATATTTCCTATCAATTTCATGTTAAAAACACCATACCTTTCTGAGCAAACTTTATCAGTCTCACTCTGCCTTTGAAATTTTGTAAAACAGTTGCATTTTGTGAAAGCAACTCAACATTTTAAACATCCTGAAATCAAAAGGTAATAGTTTCTCTAATTCCTGAGTCACTCCACACCCCTGAAAGCACCAGGGTCACCACAGGCAGTTAGATGGGAAGAACTGTATTTTTCCCTTTTGTGAGATCTCCGAATCTTTGATAAGCCAAGACCTGCCACGTTCAAAACTGCCTCCAAAACAGGATCTTCTGGAACCTGCTGGGATGAACTGCAGGAACTCAAGGTCAGAAGAGCTGAACAGCCCGTCCCATCCCAGCTGAGGACCACAGGAATGGATGAAGCTCTAACTGTGCACTTCTTGGGAAGTACAGACACAGATTAGGATTTACAGGAGGTAAGAGTATCTCATTTCTGTTGTGTGTGAGAACTCTCGGATCCCAAATACAGAATAAGCACTTAATGGGTGGCTTTGATATAGTGCCTTCTGCCAGTAACTGGGGCAATCAGGGCAAGGAGCCTTGGAGTACCTCTGTGTGTTAATGCTGAGCTGGGAGCCAGAATGAGGAGGTTGGACATGGAGTATGCTTCCAATACCTTTGTCAAGTCAGGCTGCATTTCTCCAAAGGGCTGTAAGCAGTGCTGAAAAGACATCTGTGACCCTGCCAGAGCAGGACTGACCAACGATGGGATGGAATCCACTGAACTCACAAACACCTGTTATTCAGATGAGGATAAAACCAGTGTGATAGGGCTTGGAAAAGCTCTTGTCTTCCATAGGTTTCTTTGCTCTTGGTGATTGATTTTGATTTGAGAGGAAAATGATGCATTTGTCAAAATGGATGGACATTAGAGCTGTGCTATTTGTTGGAGTATAGAATCGTAAAATGGTTTGGGTTGGAAGAGGCCTTTAAAGCCCACTTAGTTGCAACCCCCTTGCAGTGAGCAGGGACATCTTCAGCTGGATCAGGTTGCTCAGAGCTGCTGTCCAGCCTGAATTGGAATGTTTCCAGGGATGGAGCAGCCACAGCTTCTCTAGGCAACTTGTGCCAGGGCTTCACCACCCTCACAGTAAAAAAATCCCTTATATCTAATCTAAATCTCCCCTCTATAGTTTAAAATCATCACCTCTTTTCCCATCACTCCAGGCCCTACTAAAATGTTTGTCCCCATCTTCCTAATAGACCCCATAACGCATAAACAAAATGCAGTACCAAATGTGCATTTCCCTAGAGAGAGAGAGAACTCCCACCATTACATGTCACCTGCATGAAACTTTTCTGGAAAAATACAAGAATAACCCAAGTGGGGGCAGGCATATGTCTTGAAATTCATTTCCTGTGATCACTCGAGTGCCATCTGAATTCACCCCACCACTGGCAGCACATGTCCTGCAGAGCCACACAAGCACCACAGACACCTCACAGCTCATCCCTGCTCACAGCAGCAGCAGTGGATTACATTCCTTTCTGGGGAATTCGTGCCTGTATTTCACCCTCTGCATCACAGACTGAGTGTGCAAAAGCAGAGAACCAACACACGTCATGGAAGTTCACCTGCTCAATCCTACTGCCCCACTTAGAAGTGGGAAAACATCAGTTTTTTCTGTTTGTTTTGGTTTGGGTTTGGTTTTGAGGAAGTTTGGGTGGTTTATTTTTTTTTTAGCACTGCTTCATTGGAAGTCCAGGCTTCATCTTCAAAAGAGAAATCAAGAGAAGAACTTTTAAGTGACAAAAAGAGGAATTACCATTAATGCAGAGACTGAACCGAAAGACACAGGAGCATTGCTCAGCCCAGCTAAACCTCAGCCAAACCTCTCCCTTGCTCCAGGCTTTCTAACTATTCCCCAAGGCAGAGGCAAAGAGCTGCTTCTTTCCTCTCACATTATCAGCTTAACAACACAATGTTCATGCTGAGTGATTATTCTCAAGTTGAAAGCTGCTATTTGTGGTGTGGACCTGAAAAAGGGTCTCCAACACTTTGGCAGCTGGTTTTGCTTTCCTCTCAGCTCCTCAAGTTTGCTGAATTAAAATAAATAATTTAAACAAAAAAGAAGAAAGTATTTGCAACTCTCAAGGCCTTGTTTCACCATTTGATCTCATTAGTACCTCCTATTGTAGCCTTAGTTTTAACTGCAACATCCAACAGCTCCCTAATGGCTTTTTAATGTTCAGATTAACCTAATTGCAGCACTGTTATCTACATGGCAGAACTTTATCTCCAGCTCTACTAACTGTACAGGTGACTTAATCAGATGAACATGTGTGGTGTCAGGTTGGGTTTTCCTCTTTCCCTGGTTGGATATTCCATCCTGTCCTAAAGGGTGTAGAAGAACAGATGTTCATTTGTAGGGCTGGCAGACATCTCCCCCACAGCAGGCCTGGAGGACAGAGGAACTCCAAACACACAGAGATTGATGGAATCCTCACGGCTGGAGAAGACCTCTAAGATCAACAAACCCAACCATCAACCCAGCACCGCCACAGCTTTCACTGCCAAACCATATCCCCAGGTGCCACATCTACGTTTTTTCTAACATCTCCAGGGATAGTGACTCCATGGCTCTGGGCAGCCTGGCCTAGTGCTTTACATAAGCTGTTTTTTAACAGCAATCTAACATCTTCCAGCTCAAGTAGGTAATGGAGCAGTTGTGCTGCTGGCAGAGCCTCCCTGCAGCAGGGAATGCTCCTGGGGCAGGGCAGCTGCTTTGTCCATGCCTGAAGCATGAAAGAAGCATGAGCTGGGCCCTAGAAACAGGCACCAGGCTGGATCAGGGTGCAGCTCCAGGGGCTGGGCTGAGCTGGAAGCCAGCAGAGATAACATCAGCCTGTTTACAATGGGAATAGTAAGAGAAGAGATATGAGTAACTGTAATAAAGATGAAAGTGCTTGGCAGCTGTGTCTGTGGTCTCAACTCCGAGCTATTTTAAGATTTTGTTTTGTTATTATCGTGTTTTGAATTGTTTCACTCCACAAACAAATTTTGTGTAAAACGACCCTATTTTTAACAGTCTGTTTACAGCCGATAAGATCTCCAGCAAAGCAACACCTCATTCGCAGGCTCCTTTTGACTCAGAAAACAAACACTTTAATGAGGCCGAGCAGGCTGTAGCTGAACGGGTGATAAACCCCCTCCCCACCCACAGCCAGCATTCCCCATCTGCAGTGCTGGGCTGGAAGGCGAGTCAGGGAAGCTGGAATCTGGCAATCCCTATCATCCAGATGCAGATCCTCGGGCTGGATCAACAGAGCTGCCCAAATCCTGAACAGCAGGTACCCCCCGACTTCACCAGCTGATCAGTAAGAGCCAAAACCCGAGGCAGGATGCAGGAATATGGGCAAGCTCCAGGGAATGCTGAGATATTTGCACCTGTCAGGATCTACTCACTCCCTCAAACACCAAAGAGACTATTATTGTCATGGCTGGTGGTACAAGGAGCCTTTGCACAAAAATATGTTTCATCCACATAGAGTTTTTAGCATAATCTAATAACAGCAATAATTATCGTTATTGCAGCACATAACAGTGTTCAACCTGTACTAACCCCCCACAGATGACAACAAACCTGGGGGAGGCTGGTCCCTCTCTTGCCTTGAACAAGTGTAAACAGGAGAGAGATGTGATGAATGCATTGCTTGGTGCAGGAGAAAAACTGATGGCCATTGCCTGATCCAATTCCTGTCCAAGCTTCTGAGTCTCCTCATCCTTGGGCAGCTTTGGGCCATTCTTTGACTTGATGATGGTGAATGCAAAAATCCCATCTGGACATTTTGTAATAGTTTTGTCTCCCAAGGATAAACCCCTAAAATACAGCAGAGGGCTGGTTGAGTCTGGGGCAGAATTCAAAGCTGGGCAACACTACATTAAATTCCACCTAAGCCACGTGTAGGTGCACTGACCAAAGGATGGGGAAAGTTCTCAAACCTGACATGTTCAGGCCTAGCCACGAGCACCAGAACACTCCTGCAGTCACGCGAATGCAACCCACGAGTATGGGAAAGTGGGGAGTGCTCTGGAGCCAGAACAGCCCAGACACCCTCACCAATACCTGCTCCTCTCAGCTTGTTTTGAATGCAGTTGGCTCTGTCTCATCGAAAAATGACTATTCTTTCCACATACAGTACGAGGTGCAGGAAGCCACACAAGATCTTATCTGCAAGGGCATGTGCACTTGGGTGGTGTCTGCACTGACAATTTCTGCAATTTTCCCACGGTGGGGTTCGCAGCAGAGGAATTACCTCGTGCATGAGAACTGCTTGGAGTGCTGAGGCAGGACACACACCAGTGGTTGCTGATGACTCCTGCTCTTGGCTCTCCTGCAAGTGAGCTGGGACAGCACAAATACAGATATGTCTGTGCTGACTGAGTGCACTATTTGTGAACACATGGTGAGGGAATTTCTGAAAACCCAAAGAATAAACGAAACAACAGAAGTGGACTTTGCAGAGGAGGAACCGACATCAACTCCAAGAACATCACAGTGATCAAAGCCTGGATAATGGCAGAAATAATTGAGTAAAAGGCACACCAGGTATTAATCACTGGGCACATCTGTTTTGTGTTTTGGAACTACTCATTTCAAACTTGAGGCTAATCAGCTTTGCTGAGCTCTCAGGGTGCATCACTGCACAGTGGATGACATCAGGTTCGA